TTGGAGGTGAAATTCCAGGCTTGACGATCACTTCAAGCCTGCAAGGCAAAATGACGACAGGAAACTGGGCCCAGAGGCGAAGCTGGAAGAATTGGAGGAGGAAAAGATGGATGTCCAGAGGCGCGTGGGGAGGTGTGGTTGGACGAGAGTCATCTTCTGACAAATCAATAAATACCCATTAGTGTTGGACGGTATCAGGCCAACTGCTGTCTTGTCCAGTGTACACGAAAATCGTCACTTTGACGATCTACTTTCACAAGTCGTTACATGAAGCCGACAGAAACGTACTTGAGTGACCAGGGCAACATATTCGCCGACCTCCCAGTTTCCCCCTCTCCATCGCTGGTCTGTGGCATGCGATCTCGCCTTCCAATTCCCTCTTTCCCCCACCCCCTTCCCTCCTCTCTCTCTCACACACACACAAACAACCGAACAGATTCAGTTGGCAGACAGTCTTCCTGTCGGCCGACACCGACGTCGAGGCACGTTTCTGGTGTACAGCTTTCAATACGCCTATCGGTCTGCAGAACTGCCTCACCCTCACGACCTACCAATCACGCGGACCTGCGAACATGCACACGCACCAGCATCTGCCATGCCAACAGACGCCTTCAAGGCAATCCTCTTCGGTGCTAGTCACTTTAACTTGATTGACTTGACTGTGTGTGCTCTTCAAGGCAGGTGGAGGCAACGTGTGAAACTGGTCCTATCAGAGATGCCTTACAACAACCAAACAGAAATGATGAGCTGGGGGAGGCGGAGAGGGGAAGTAGGAGGAGAAAGAGAAGAAGGTTGAGACAAAAGAAGGGACAACGCAAGAGCGAAAGAGAGGAAGAGCTGGAGCTGCAGAAGCAGGAATGAGGAGGGGCAGCAGAAGAAGGGAAGAGTGAGAGGCGGCCAACTGGTGAACTTTGCAGCGAATATGGCCGGAAAGCCGAGACTCGGCCGAGTCAGAGAAGCGGATTGCTTTGGCCGATGTTAAAAAGGCCTTGATAGGTCAGTCGAGACCTGTCGGCATGTTGCGGCATGCAAAAAATTGCAGCATGACAGTAGGAGTGTAACAGACTGTCTGCGTTTTTGTGTGTGCGTGTTCTTATTGATGTTGATGTTGGTGTTAGTGTGTGCGGCCTCACTTGTGGAAGTGAAATTCATTGGATGCTAGGCTGTATGTTTTAAGTGTTAAATGAGTTGTGAAAACGCGTCACTTGAACATGTGATTCCTGTTGATGGGCCATCAGTGGTCTTTTCGCCCGATCTCGACGCTTGCCGCAACCGGCTTGAGGGAGGGTGGAAAAGGAGCGATTACACGACATCCCCTGCACCTGCAGATGCACAAACTAGTAGGTCTGTATGTGTGGGCAGATGGACACAACACATGCGTTTTGATGGGTATGGTTGACTTTTAGGCTGTAGCTCCGTCGTACAGAAGCATATCCGCCTTCTGGCCAAGTGATCGCAGCAAATGACTCGGAAAGAGGCACGTCGGTTGCTTCCTTGTCCTGCTCACATGATACCGGGTCACACTCGATACTCCGCCCCCTCGGGGCCTAAGTGTCAGCAAGCGGTCGGTTGTGACGCCGCACGACTGGGTCAGTCGGCGAACATTGTGAAAGGTGTGGACTGCCACATCCGGTGGGTGGGAAAAGGGTTCATCATTTCCTTTAAACGACGAGAAGACGCCAAATTTAGCTTCAAAGTAGACTCATTTAGAAGGCAGTAATAATGTGCTCGATTGTGATGAGGAACATACAAAGAGAAACTAGATTTCGATTAACCTCTTAACATGACACTACAAAAGAGCTTCATTTCGCATGAAAGTGCTGAGGAGATCTGTAGGTCAGTTTCATCATACCACGACAGCTGATTCGCGTTGTTCTGCAGTCGTTTAGCTTTAATGCGATGTACCTGTTGACGCAGTTCACCAGACATTCTCTCTTTTTACGTCCAACATGCGATGAGTATCAACTACGCTGAAACACATTTTTGTGGATGCCTATTGACAGTGTTAACTTGAGACTTATGCAAGAATGAGTCTTAGCTTTGATGATATCCATCATATGATGAACAAAATATCAGACCGAAGGTATGAAGACCAAGATGGTGTGGCCTTTTGTGTGGTCGCAGTCTCCTTTCGTTGTATAAAGGTTG